CAGCTCCCACAGGGGGTTGGGGAAGCTGTGGTGTGGCCACAAGGGACAAGCGGGCACCCTCCCATGACCCCCATAAGGGTTGCCCAGGCTCCCTCCCAGAGCCTTGGGCCACTTACCCACAGCTGTCCCATGTGCTGTGCACAGGCCAGCACATGGCCAGCAGGACGAGGAGGGGGAGCAAGTTCATTGCTGCCTTCGGCACGTGGCAGCTGCAAGAACCAAGGGCTCGTCGCCACCAGTGCAGCAGCCGGTACAGTACCCGCAGTGATCCGTTGCCCGTGGTACCCTTAGAACGGGGCTGATGTCACAGAGTCGCTGGTTCCGGGTGCTGGGCACGGTGGCCTCTCGGGGCAACATGAGAGGTTCTAAGTAGGAGGGGAGGCAGAAGCTGCGATCAGACACCCTGACAGACCCCACTGAATGCTCTGCTTGCAGTATGAGGGTGTGCAGGCCCCGTGGCAGGCAGCAGCACCTGCTTCTGGGCACTGCCTGAAAACAGCCAGCAGGAAAGAAGCAAGCCTGGCATCACAGCCTCTTTGGGAAGTTTGCTGCCAAACTGCTCTCTGCAGCTATTTGCCACTAGGTCCTTCCCAAAAACCATGCCCCAGAGAAGATAACTACTACAGCCAGTATGCACAGGTTTGGGTGCTGAAGAGCCAGTCTGGTTACAGCTGCAGCTCTAAGGCAAGCACTCATGCATGCGTGTGATGAGTCCATCACACCCATGTGGTGCATGCTGTGTGTATGCCCACACCTGGGTGCATATACGCTGGCATGTGGTTTGCGTGGTGCACTCTGCGTACGCATGTGCCATGTGGGTGTGGGTGCACTCAGTGCCTGGGCACTCTCTACATCTATGTACGTGCACTGTGGGTGCACACCGTACGCATGCAGTGTGGTGTAGGTGAGTGTCCTGGTTTTGGCCGGGATAGAGTTAATTTTCTTCATAGTAGCTGGCATAGTGCTGTGTTTTGGATTTAGTACCACAAGACTGTTGATAACACACTGATGTTTTTAATTGTTGCCAAGTAGTGCTCAGACTACTCAAGGACTTTTTGAGCTTCTCCTGCTTGGCCAGGTGCACAACAAGCTGGGAGTACAGCACAGCCAGGACAGCTGACCCCAACTGACCAAAGAGCTATTCCATACCATATAACGTCATGCTTGGGGGGGTTGGTCGGTCGGTTGCGGGGAGAGTGATCGCTGCTCGGGGACTGATCGTGGCTCAGGGAGTGATCGCGGCTTGGGACGGGCTGGGCATCGGTCGGCGGGTGGTGAGCAATTGCATTGTGCATCATTCGTTTTGTATATTCTGTTATCATTCTCATTATTACTATTATTATTATTTTCTCTTATTAAACTGTCTTTATCTCAGCCCTCGGCTCTAACCTTTTATTTTCTTCCTGATTCTCTCCCCCATCCCACTGAGGGAGGGGGGGAGTGAGCGAGCAGCTGCATGGTGCTTAGTTGCCAGCCGGGTTAAACCACAACAGTGAGCCTGGGAGTGTGCACACCAGACACAGGCATTCACAGGGTAGAGCGTCGGTGTGTATGTGGGCAGGCTACATGTGCGTGCGCTTCTTGTGAGCCTGTGTGTACACCTATGTGCATCCCTTCCACTCTCTGTGCATGATGTGCATGTGCGCTGGGTGCACACCACTCGGTGTGTTCATAGGGGGGGGGTGTGAGTGTATGCAAGTGTGTGTTGGTACGCACTGTGTGTGTGTGTAGTTTGTGTGTGCGCATGCACGTGTGTCGGTGTGAAGCATTTGTGCACACCCGTGTGCATTGCTGTGCAGCCAGTGTGTGTGTCTGTATGTTTGTGTGCGTTCCGTGTGTGTGTGTGTGTGTGTTGGTGTCCAGTCAGTCTGCGTGTGTCTCTGAGTGTACGTGCGCATGCATGTGTTTGCACCACCCTTCCATGCCGTTCCCTGTTGCGCCATTCCCCACTGCCAGGAGACAATGGCACCCTTCACTGGGGAGCCTGGCCCCAGCTTCAGCCACCCACACACTCCTGGCCAGGTTGGGGGGATCTCCCCTGGTGGGTCCTGTCTGGTGAGGAGGTGGCACCCGCTGCCGGGTGGGGCCGGGTCTCTTGGGGCTGCCGAGCCCCTAAGCTGGTGCTGCCCCTGGCATTGTGGGCATACAGAGCTCTTCAGAGCCCCACCTGGGCAGGCGTGGAGAGCAGCCAACACAGGTAATGATTTCTGGGCTGGCTGTGGCCCGAGGCCCTGGGAGAGGCCACAGCACTTGTGGGAGTGGTGAGGGCTGTCAGAATGGGAGTCAGACCCGGAGTAACGATGGAATCTCAATGTGAGTATGGTCGTTCTCCTTTATTGCGCAGTTAGCAAAGCATATATAGGCAGAAAACAATAACACACACACTAGTCAAATGGTAATTGGTAGAACACCGCTGTCCACACGCCTCCATCGCTACCATGATTGGGACAGATTATCTATCCATCCGTAGGGGCATCTCCATCTCTTCCGGTCGTAGTTGTGCCCATTCTGCTGCAGAGCATGGGCTGTCCAATGGGACTAAGTCGTGCCCATTCTCACTCAGCCACTCCTCCACAGAGGGCTGAGTGGTCGTCCTGGGTGGCCACTTCACCACTTGGCCAGCACCACGCTTGGCGCCCATGGACCCGCTGGCAGCTTTGTCAGGCTGTGCAGGAGACAGGCTGGAGGCCTGCAGGGGGACCAGGGCCAAGGGCAGGGCAGAGGCATGGGCTGCCTGCAGGAGCTGCCTGCCCCACTCCCTCACCTCTCCAGGGCAACATGGCCACCAGAGGAGCTCTGGGCACGCTGGGTTCAATAATCCTGTTTCGCAGGACTTGTGGCTGCTAAGGGTAAAGCAGAGGAGAGGTAGAGAGAAGGAGGGAGCTGGGGAGGAGGTGGCAGGCATGGAAGAGTGGGGAGAACACCCTTGGGGTCCATGTGGGCTGGGGAAAAGCATCCACCCAATGCATGCAGGGGAACAACCCTGGAGCTTGGGCTGTCCCCCTAGGGAGCAGTGTTCTTGCACCTCCCTCGTCCTCCATCCACCAAAGCTGAGAGCTGGGCCCTCTAGCCAGAGACAGGCTGTGCTGAGGCTGTGTAAGGGACTAAAAACTTGTCTCAACATTGGTGGCAGGCAAGTTTAACTACCGAAGCCTAATCACCACGGCAACTGAGCAGGACAGTTTAATCACCAGGGCAGCCCATTGAGTTTTAGCCAATAGGAATGTGTGTCCTGTTGTCTTGGAGTATGTGCCCTCTGCGCATGTGCCTGGGCCCAGGGTCAACTGACAATGGGGAGGGGGCTCGGACCCTCTAGAACCTTCAAGCACCTCCTAGTGACGGTACTGCGCCCCACTGCTGAGTGGGAGGCGTGGCTATGCAAAACAGTTATTGACTATGCAAGAGGACAACCCTGTAAAAAGGGGAAACCAGCGGAGACCAGGAGGAGCATCAGCGAACATCTGCCTTCCACCAGATTTGAAGATACATCAGGTGCTTGGGCCGTGTGGACCACTCAGGCTGCATGGGTGCACGGACCGCACAGACCGCTCGGGCCGCACCAGTGCACGGGCTGCATGCAGACCCGTGGTGGTAGCTATCACAACACCACCATGCTGTTTCTTTCTTTCCCTTTCTCACTTTTCCTCTCTTTCTCTGCTTTCTCTCTTGCGTATTTGTTGTTGGCCAAATAAAGTGACTTGGCACTTGACTCCGTTTTGAGTCTTAATTCTGTTCCTGAGAATGTGAAAGGAACCTAGTCACGATAAAACATTGGAGTTAATCAGAAGTTAAGCCCAGCTGCCCCCAACCTCCCAGAATTACCTGAGGTCGGTTGGAAAGCAAAGGGGTTTAACCTCTGCCAAATTGTTCAACCCAACAGTGGACTGTGACAAGATGCTCCCCCCAGAGCTGGTTCACCACTTGCCTGTGCCTCCCTCTGCACAAATCTGCCTCTGAGCCAGCTCTGTGCTGCTCCCATGGGAGCTGGGTCTCACCCACGTGGCACTGATGGCACAGGTGGCATTTCCAGGACACCACTTGGTGCTGAGGGAGGGTAGTGTGCCCCTGAGGCTGCCTGGTGCCCAGGGCTGAGAGGGGCTCAGACTCTGTGGGAGAAAAGCTCAGCCTGGAGTTCAAGGGCTGCAAACCACCAGGACAAGGGTCTGCAGGGAAGAGCTTCAGGGCACAGGGGGAGTGTGGGCATCCACAGGGTGGCTGCAGGGCAGCTGCTGCACCACGGGCAGGCTCTGGACCCTTCTCTACCCCATGCAGTGGCATCTCTGTGGCCCTGTTGTGCCGCTCCATGGAGGGACACAAGCCAGCACTGCCAAATTTCTTCCATAGCAGCCTGGTCTCTGCTTTTTGCTCAAGTCAGCCTGTCACTGTGGGTTTGGGGGTCTTTTGTTGGTGGGGCAGAGCAGCAAGATGCTGTGGGGTGGCGGATGGAATGGAGGTGTGTTTGTAGGCTGGGGTAATGTTCAAGGTGTTAATCTGCTGGGATGGACCTGACACCACCCCAGCCTGGTCTGTCCCAGCCTGACATGTCAGAAAAGCACGGTGAAAAGCAGAGGAGAACCTGGCCAAACCCACCCAAACCCTGGCAGCCAGGACTGGGGTGGTGTGGAATGCAAGAAATGCAGAAGCCGAGTGGGCAGTAACCGCAAGGCTAAGAAGAGGAGGAGCAGGAGGGCATCACCATGACCACACAGTGACTGGCAGGACTGGAATGTGGCCTTGCTATAAAACTTAGGATTCGAAATTAAACTGCATCACTTGGAGCATCCATACTGTGTATGCTGTGTTTCCTTGACCCGTAGACGGCAGGCTGTCTGCGTGATCCTTCAGGTAACCTTAAAGTTGATACAAGAACCAACAGGGTGGGAGGGTGAAGGGTGGAGGAGGTTGTAGCCAGGTGGGCGTTGGTCTCTCCTCACAGGTAACAAGTGATAGGACAAGAGGAAATGGCCTCAAGTTGTGCCAGGGGAGGTTTAGATTAGATATTAGGAAAAATCTCTTCACTGAAAGGCTTATCAGGCACAGGAATGGGCTACCCAGAGAGTCCTCATCCTTGGAGGGATTTAGAAGACGGGTAGATGAGGTGCTTAGGGACCTCGTTTATTAGTGGACAGGTGCAGTTGGACCCAATGATCTTAAAGGTCTTTTCCAACCAAATGATTCTATGATTCT